TGTAGAGTCTACGTAACTCGAGACACATGTCCGCTGAATGACTGTGAGGCCTGTCGGTTTGCAGTTGGGTCCAGAGGTTGTTGATAAGAGATGCCTCCTGACGTGCCTTGGCGAGGGCTCTTCTGTAAGCAGTTGTCTGTTCGGGTGGCCGCGTCTGTGGCACCCTAGTAAGAACTGCTTGCAGAGCATTGTGTTATGCTCCTTGCATCAAGACCTCATCGTGCGGTTGGTGTTGGAGCGGTATCAGAGAGCATCCAGTCACAGTCCGGAGTGCCGTGTTTTGGCAAGTCTGAAACTTCGTCCACTGCCTGAAAGATCCAATGCTATAAGGACTGTCCTCTCACAGGGGCGGTTTCGGTTAAAGGGTACGAATTGTCTGGGTGTTAATGGCGTTATGTGCTATGCACCTTACGGAACCCATATTGATGCCTAGCTGGGGTTAGGTGGTTTTTCAGCATCAGCATGCAAATTCCGTCTGGTCATATGGCTTTGGAGGCTTTCGCCTTTCCGATGGCTACCCTCGCTTCAACGCTGGCGAAACAAGAGGCGCAGTGGGTGTTGGCAGTTTGTGCAGCCTTCTGGTCACTCGACGTTGGTCGGAGGATGCTAAAATAGATCGAGATTTCAACTCTGTCGGCACGCTTCGTTGGATTGGATAATGGCCTCACGGTTGACGAAAGCTTGCTCACACTCGAGGCGAAGTTACAGGTCTTTAGATGCTCTTCCCACTTCTTCCGCTTATTTGTCGTATCTCCGCGTTGAGATCCCTGATGCGGGGATTTCCGGGATCGGTCTGACGAAGGTTGTCCACGCTCATCGGCTAGGACAGCCGCTCCAGCAGGAAAATTCGGACGGGGACCCGAACTGCATCCTGCTGGGATGAAGCGCGCTGCAGCAGCAGTGACAACCCTACGGAACTTACGCTCACCTACGCGAGCGTCGGTTGGTGTGGGTAGGGAAGTCAAGTTGCTTTCAATAACATCCGCAATGCCGTTCCGATAAGCTTTAAAAAAGTTGGCATAGGTTCGGTGATCCGCTGAAGCAAAGTCGACAGGTTTATCAATTGATATGATAATGGGCAGATGATCTGATGCCAAAGTCGGCATAGGTCTCCACTTTATGCTGTTTATCAGACCAGCGCTAACGATTGTTGTCGGCGAGCTACTGCAGCTGCCCATAATCCTGGGGTCATACGACAGGCTTGTGTGTTAAAGACAACCATTTCGATCTCGACATCGCCTGACCGGATAGCAATACCCTGACATTCTGGGATGGTACCCCTGCGGTCGATGTCTGCATCGATAAGACTATACCGCACGGTATCATGCGTGATGAATGCTAGGCCAGCACCATTATCTCGCTCGCGATCTCGAGGGTGCGCGTTGTTTCAATTCAACAGTAGTGAATTGCCATGCAACTTGTCTTTTGAAGACTGTTATCTCCTCGACCTTGCTCTATAGTCCGTTACAGTTGAATTGTAATACCACCAACCAATGAATCTATTTACGTAAGTAATAGAGCATTTGAAGATCTCCGTAAGATTTTGGAGGAAGAATCTCTGTAGTGTGTCATACCTTTTTTATACCCGAGCGCACACAAGTCGATTAAGCTATGTCTGTCTATCCGTCCGTTGGTCCGTTCGTCCGTGTACATGATAACTCGAGCAAAAACTGAGATATCTCAATGAAATTCGATATGTAGGTTTCCCTTTACGCAAGGTAGGTTTATATTGGGCGAAATCGGACTGTAACCACGCCCACTTCCCATATAACGGTATTTTCGAAAAATGCCAAAACTATGATATTTCATTAAATATTGGATTCAAATTTTTGAAATTTTTGAAAAGTACTGGATCTACATGTACTAGAAAGCACCAGTTCAGAACTGGAGATTTTCCCCACAGGGTTCTTCAGGAACTAAACAAAACTAAAAAGTTTGGCTGACTTCCAAAACGTATCAATACATTTTTTGGAAACTGTTACACCCGTATGCTGTAATCCGAAAGTTCGTAGTTACGAATTCGTAGCTCCGTTCCGAAAATTCGAATATTGGTATGCTGTAATCCGATTGTAACTATCAACGGCGTTGCCAACTAAATTAGTGAAATTCGAAGTTCTTACTCAGCTGCTTTGGCAGAAACAAATCAAAATAAATATACATAATCGCAAGTGAATAGTGAAATTAAAAAAAAATAGTTTAATCATTATTTGAAATGACTTTTCCTTAATTAAGTAGAATACAAAGGATTCAGTGGCCGGCGCACTTTTGTCCCAGGAGGAAGAACAGCTTACAGTTGCATTAATATACAAAGGAGATTGCTAAGATATTGTTCTGATCCATTTAGCTTAAATGATAAAATGTAAGCTCCCTCCTTTTAAGGGCCTCCATTTCACTAGATATTGTGCCACTTTAATTCTTGGAACGCTTTCCCGAAATTCCACCACCTCCTCTTTAGCTTCTTTTACAAAGCCTCGACCAATGTCCGGCTTTTCGCTCATGTATTCCACCAGTTTTTCGTATTGCGAGCGATTTATTTTGATCTTCGATCTGTTAATTTTGCAAACATTTAATAATAAATTTTTTTTTCATATCATATTCATTTGAACATATTTTTGCGTTTACACACTTTATTTTACTGATATTTTAAAACGATTTGTTTCGCTGCGACACGAGTTGCTATTCGTACAAAATTTCCGACAAATACATAAAAATGACAGCTACGTCGGATTCAGGCATACCAACATTACGAATTTCGAAGATTGCCTACCAATTTCGAAATTACGATACGACAACGCGGATTTCAGCATACCAATTTTACGATTCGTAGCAAAATCGAATTTACGACGGATTACAGCATAGGGGTGTTATACCGCGGTATTCAAACTGTTTGTATATTCAGAATTTTTCTGAATTTTCCATCTTTAAAACACCAATGGTAACCAATAACAAACGAAGCATCAACTTTGCCTCTGATGCGCTGATTGCGCTAGCGATGCGTTTCGATAAATTTTCGGATGCGTTTTGGAAAAGTATACATCGTCAACATTTGGTAGTTCGGCGTTATGGAACATCATACTTTGTACGTATGCAAAGCAATTGACGTTTTGGAAGTCCGCCTTTATATAAATAGCTTCGTCAACGCATTCTAAAATTATCCGATATGGATAGTTTCAATGCAAACTATCGCAAACATCGAATGGGATGACTATCGATAGTTTTGCAGCTCTACTTATTTCATTAACTCTAATTCGGCATATTATCGAAAAATTTTGAAATCGGGAAAAACCCCCCTGCTTATCATGCAAATGTAGTTAAGAAAAAGCTGAAACGACGATAGTTGATACCTGCGCTGGGTATATAAAGTTCGGTTTCGCCCAAACTTATACTTCTTTACTTGTTTTTGTTTATTTGGTACGGCCATTCCGACCTATTTCAAATTTAAGTATCACAGTTGAATTTTATTTTAGTATGTACTACAATCTACTCAATGCGCAAATTATTTTACATCTTAATATATAAAAATCCCGTGTCACTGTGTTCATTTCAATGAAATTTTGTGGGTGTGTATTGTTGATTCCAACTTAAAAGATAGGATAGTTTTGAACCCGAGAATTACCGTTAATTTTTTAGATTTTTTTTTGTCGCATTGGCTTCCATATAATGAATAAACTCAATTTATTTGTATATGGAAGAAAACCGCAACATCCTTGGCGAAAAAAATTCTAAAAAATCAGCGGTAACTTTTAGCCACTTGAAACTTGCACATCATCAGACTAAAATTGATTGAGCTATAAAACTGTGTATTCAGAAAAATTCAAACACTTAAGAGAAAAAAGTTTGAAATTTAGGTGAAAATTTGTTGCACTTTTTTGTAGTAGTCTCTAAGTTTTTAAACTTGGGTTTATATGGGTTTTGTTAGAGAAAGAACTGTATTTTAATTGAAAATTCTTAAAAATAAATAAATAAACATAAGTGGCACACAATATCACTTTGAATTGGCGTGCTATAGATATGACCGATACTGTACGTATATTTTTATCCACTGCCTAGTTTTTTGAAGAGGTTTAAAAAAATATTGGGGCAGGTTCTGCAATTCACTTCCGAGTGAATTTCAACCCGTGTGAATTCTTAGGGTCTGATTATGCATACTTCGCATAACTTCGCACAACCATTTGTACCAGTGCACTAAAAGTGTAACTTATGAAAATGTGAAGCAAAATCTAAACTCAACAGATCGCTAAGTTTTTAAAAGTTCTGCTAATTTCTGGGTAATGGAATACATACATAATACATACAATGTACATATGAAATTACAGTTTGAAATTTATGCGAAGTTGTGCGAAGTATGCATAATCAAACCATTACCGTGGATCTACGGCAAGCAAACATCTTCAGAAATTACGGATCTAAGGTAGTTTTACCGTGGATATACGGTAATTTTACCTTGGATCTACTGTAATTTTACCGTGGACCTACGGTAATTTTACCGTGGACCTACGGTAATTTTATCGTGGATCTACGATAATTTTACCGTGGATCTACGGTAAAAGTTACCGTGACGCGTGTAAATAGACACTCCCTATTTTATTATACCTGGTAGTTCATTATATTCTTTAAATCCGGCTAAATATAAACTCGTTTTTTTTTAATTCAGACCTTACCGTCATAGGTAGGCGAAAATTATTTATATTTCTATCTCAATCGCTCATGTAAGTAGGATGGTAAGTTTCCTAATTTAATGTTATGAATTTTCAAAGCATGATAGGTAACTAGTTGTTTCATAACTTGGCCAGTTCAACTAATGGGTTCCTTACTAACGTCTAGTTTGCCGCTGAGGCACAGTAGTGGGTTGTAAGCCAGTAACTACTTTGACAAGTTGTTCCTATAAGCCAAAAACCAAACCAAATTCTACACTTTCTGAAAAATTTGAGCACATTTAATTATTCAGATTTAATCTATGTATGTAGTTTGCAGTGTCATGATTAAATTTTAGAGCTTACCGTTATTTTAATTATTCGTTCGAAGTGGATAATCCTCTTTCATTAATACCATAAAATGTTTGTTAAAACTCGAATCAAAGTTCCCACTCGAGTTTATATGTATATGTAGTATTTACATAAGTTGCATTCTAATTTACATATATTTTTATGCAATTGAATTTAATTCACTTGACTTTTATTAAATCAGCAACCACCTCTTAAATTACTTAATTTCACACGTTGCACAGAATCTTTTTTTGTTTTAACTGCAATGAGAACAAATTTCCCATTTAAAATCACCACAGGATGAACTTCACTTATCAGATTTCTTCTTTCACAAACGTTCGAACAGTTTATGATAATTTTTTCACGCGCAGCAAATCACATTCGCATCCGTTTCTTAAGAACGATACCAACGAAGTAAACAACAACCACAATATAACCAGTAAACAACCTTCGGTGAATTTGGCGACTGCCTTCCTCGGGGATGAATATGCTAGGGATGAAATTATTGGTACACACGCCTTCCAAGCACGCAGGGTTGCTTTTAAGAAACAAAAAATAATTAACTCCAAATGTTTCAAAAAATATAGTGTAAAACGAAATTTATTGAATAATTCCATATAAAATGGTATATATAAATGACTCATTTTCTAAACGATTTAAATAAAAAGCATTTCATAACCTTTTTTGTGCAAACGGCATTTGCGAATTGATAGAAAAGTACTACGGATTGTAAATTTTTGTTAACTATGAGGTGGATGACAATTTTCAACCCGGCCTGACGGTTTTGAAGAATTTTGTTGTTTTAATTTTATTACTAAGGTGTCTAATAAATTCATGGCTTTTAGTTCTAGAAGAATAAAAGTCAGTAAAGACAAGTCTTTTTTGTATAATTTCTGATTTTAATTGCTCAACTTCTTTTGCACCAGACCAACTGTCAAAAATTTCCAGCAGTAAAAAGTTACGAATTGGCACAGCAATGTAAAATTTTCTCGCCATAATAAAAAAGTTTTTTCAACATGGATCTTTTCTACTAATTGACATGAAATTACTATCTCAACGCTCGGAGCGCTGCCACTGAGCGCTTTTGCCAACTGATAAAAAAGAGAAAATTTGGAAATACCAAACAAAAATTTTGAAATTTCTCCTTGTGAATACGAATGCCATAGTTTTTACCTGGCTCGTGGGACTACGCAAAATTTTGACAGCTTGTAAATATGTATACACATTAAGTTGTTGGCGGTAATAAAGAGTCAAAATCAAAATGGAGAAAAGAGCAAAAATCGTACGTTAGTTGTCAGTTATAAAATAAATCCAATTTATTTGCGAATATTTGTTTATTCTATTTATTGAAAGGCAACTACGCGAAAAAGCTTGTGTTAATTATATTGATAACAGAACCTGCTCAAGCAACATAAAATCCACAAAAGAATACATTGCTTGTCCATCAATACGCCATGTATAAATTTTAACAACAAAAATAGAGCTTTCGCACGAGCGTTTGTTTGGTTTTTCAACACCATTTATAATTTTCTTTTAATAAAATCACGTATTGTCAAATGCTTAAATTTATTTATCTTATAATTATGCTGCACACAACCCTGAAATCTAAGAAAAAGTCTGAAGAAGGCCATTAAATAGCAGCACACAATCCCGTGCCTTCCTCAGGAGTGAATATAACTACAACAACAACGACTACTACAACAACAACCCAAAAAGGTTGGTTACTGTCTATACTGTGACAACAACGCCACACTGACTGCGGCAGCCTCAGTGTCGTCGTCAGCGTTTGTTCGCTTGCTTTCTGTTCGTTCTCTGCTGCCTGATTTTAACTTTGCTGTTGCACACATACATACTCCCACCGGGATACGTACGCTCAATGAAAAAACACACCCGCCTTCAGCTCAGTACACTTGTAGTTGTTATTGTTATTGCCGCTGTAACTGCTGCCGCTGCTCCTACCACACATAGCAATTGCACACCGAAAGTGTGAATGCACCACAGACGTGTACAACAAAAATAGCACCTCGACATTCAACCATTTAATATGATTTGATTTCGTTTTTGTCTTTTCTATTTTTATTCTCTTCCTTTTAGGCTATTTCTTCCTCAAATCTGACTGTTCGCTATTGCCAGAGAACCTATTGCTATAGCTGCCCACCGCATCCGCTTGCTGTGAAAACAAAAACATTACATTACAAAACGAAAAACAATACACAGTGACGACGTCGCTGCCGGCGTCAGCAACACTGTGGGATTCCATTCGTCTTCCTACGTTTGTTTTTTGGGTTTTCTCTAGAGATGGGCGAGTCCGAGATTTTTAAATGATCGAGAGAATCGCCATCTTTGCAAAATCAAGTCAATAATCGACTCGCTGCCCGACTATACAACCGAGATGTTTTCCGATGGTACAAGCCTGCACTCCCTATAATATCATTTATCTCACAGTATGAGTGAAAATCAAAATATTAATGATGTACTGGACTATTTTAGTACTTTTGTGTGAGTTTAAAACTGATTTATAAATAGTAAAGTGTTTACAGCAGAATGTCAAAATAGTGCTACAACTGTTCACTTGAACTTTTTACTAGTTTCGTGTTCAATAACTTTTTCTAATAGTTTTCTCTTATTCTCAATTTTACGCTCTATTTTGCTTTTATACTAGGTTCACATATAAGTAGATTATCCTCATTAACTCCCTAATCTGTAATTAAAAAAAGAGATTAGCCATATAAAATTCGTCCCTTGTTAATATGTAATTATAAAATAATCTCAGATTTAACCGATAACTTTTCGGTGTCCATCCTAGTTTTATCGATTGTTTTTGTGTAGAGGATTGCAAATTTAAAAGTGAACAAAAATGGACGCTAGCAAGGAACAGAGGTTTGTAGAGGTATTTTTAAAAAAATGTTAAGTTAAAATATATTTATATTGCTTAACATAGCAGAAAAACGTGATCACGGTGGCACAAAGAAACATAACTTTTCCTTTAAGAATGTGAGAATAAGCACACAAAATTTGACGTAAAACATCTCGGAATCGCCCATCACTAGTTTTCTCTATTTCTCTTTGCTTTTTTTGAGATTTTTTTCTTTCATTTGCTTTTGCTTATACACTTTTGCTTTGCTCCTCTGCGTTCAGACGTAGACAAAATTTGGTCATTTCTATTGCCGATCTCAGCACAATTTGCGTGTTATTTTCAAGCACTTGCACAATATTTGATTAGTTTTCCTTTATCTTATATATTTACGACACTTTTATACTATTATTATTAATTTAATTGTTTTATAATCAAAGAAAAAGACGGCAGCGACCTCACTACATAAACGAACAGCATAGAACGAAAATTACTAACTGTAGTTGCCACGCGTCCCAACATGACGTGAAACCAACGGAGGCGAGCTGACTGAAAGTGTTATAATTAAGTAATAAGTTATGCCATGTGGTACATTTTAAATAAATCTTTCAAATAAAAATAATTTTATGGACGAAATTAAAGGAATTTAAACAGTTTTTGTAATTTGAGTATTTCAAAACATATGGCAGTGCTACGTTACACTGAAAAAAGTGCTGGCTGCCCAATGATTCAATAGCGGTGTTCATACCAAGCTTAGTACTCGATTTTTCTCCAAATATTTGTCGTGTAAATTATTTTACAGGCCAACCTAAGGCTATCTGCACACTTGTAGTCCAGTCTTGGCGGCGTTATCATCTCGCCCTGAAACTTTAAGCCGAGCACATGCACTTCAATGGAGGTCTGCACACTTGTCGTTACCGCAGAACTCCACAGGCAAACCCCGATGGCCTACCAACTGTCATTTTGACGGGCAATATGATTGCAAGTTTTTGTGTGTGGGCACTTTGATGTCTTGAAATAAGCATTTGCCGCATGACGCCACCAGACAACATTCTCTCAATTTCGGTGTTTAAAAACATTTAAACCTTTAAAAAAACTTGCTGAATAATTTTTTAAAACGTAACCATAAATAATCCAATAGGGAACAGATCTTTATTTTGACTTAATATCAAAATTTCGCCGATGTTACCACCAGCACGCTTTCTTTCAAATGAAAATATGGCTGTCAAACTTTCAAATTGCTTGCAATAAATGTCAAGCAATAAGCGCTGACGTATATTGCAGCCCATGATAAATAGGCTGTCTCCATTGGAAATATATGTTGTGACATGGTTATCACCATGATGCAATAATACAAGGTGGTATCAGTTGTGACTGCTCTATTTTACGCTGCCTTAGCTCAATAGAATAAGTAGAAAAACGGGAAGAAATGAATCCCCATCTGTGGGAAAAATATAAGATTTCATATTTTCTTCTAAACAAAATTAGCTTTTTTATAGTATATTCGCAATGAAATGAAATAAAATAAGATATAATACCTTTTTGAGGAAACAAAATGTGAATACAGAGAAAAAATAAAAAAAATTCAACTATATTATTAGGCAAAGAATTGTTAAAGATGTAACACTGTTTCAGCTAAGGCAGTTAATATGGCGGAATTAGAGCGAGAAGTTGCCAACCGATAAGGTTGGTGTTATGCAGAAATTTTGTTTGGCAAACTGCGTGCAATTGTTGTTGCAGCAAACTCGGAGAGAGCGAGTTTGGCGACACTCACAGCAAACTAATTTTGTTTGGTCAAACTGCAGCAAATTCGGTGTTGTCATATACAAAAATTTTAAATTGTGCGCGTTATGTACATCTGAAATTCTCATTTCGTGTTGGCAATAGCCATGAAAACCATAATGAACGTGCATCCCTGTGCCAAACTCGACATAACCACCTCCGAGCAAACTAAGCAGCCGCCATTTAATTTGGCAAACAAAAGTTTGTCTGCATAACACCGACCTAACACCTTGTATTATTGCATCATGGGTTATCACGACATAAGTGTTTTCCTGTGGAGACAGGGCTTTATCGGCAAATCGTAGAAGATTCAGAAACGTATAAGTGCGACCCCGTCGTTTGTTAATCGTTATGCGCGCATTGTTGGTTTACATTTTATGGGGAAAAATTAGGAATAAAGTTAATATTTGCTTTAAAATTATATAAAAATTAGAATTTATTGCATAAAACCTGCGAAAATTATTAAAAAGTGGATAGTTGCAATAAGTGTGTGTGTATCACGAATGAGAGAAGTAGAGATTGCGCCAATCGCGGTACCGCTAATCCGCTCTTTGTGATTTTGACAGAATCAGCTGTGTGCGTGACGTCATCTTGGTACAATTGTTGATTGTGAGCATACGAAAAACCAAATAACAATTTTAACATTTGTGCGTTAATATTTCTGCGTGGTTTTAAACAATTATTGAGACATTACAAAGCAAAATGAAGTGTGCAGTGGCAAAATGTAATCGTGAAAAGAAAAGGAAAGCGTGCGATATATGTTTTTTTTTGTTTCCTACGGACG